TGGATTCTTCTTTTGTTTTGTTTTTTTAAAGTTTTATTAATTTTTTTATGTCCCTCATACAGTATGTTCCAAATGTTTTACAGGAAAATCAGTAAAATTCCAGATATTTTTAAGACTCTTTACACACACTGTAACTTTTGAACCCAGGGGAAAATCAGGTTTGGCTGCGGAGAGCTTTCAAACTCATTCTAAATAAAACAGAAATATGGTAGAATTTATGTGTAAGATTAGAGGCTTGAAGCCAAAATGTGCTTCCTCTCTACCCTGCTTGTTTAATTTAACTTTGTTATTTCACGAGGGTGTGACCAAGGTCATGAGGGGTGAAGCCTTGAAAACAGACAGTGTAAGTACAGTAGTCACACAGTGAGACCATCTTTACTTTGGGTTCACGCCACTGTAGATTGTGGCTGGTGAGTAAGAACTTCTTTCCTATGAGCACGGCAAACATGAGGCACAAATAAACACATTCAGCACTGCTCTCATGAAACAAACTAGACAAACAGGGAAGCGAGCTCCTGCTGCCGCTGATGCTGCTGCCGCCACCACCGCCGCTGCTCCTGCTGCTGTTTCTTGTCTGTTGACAAGACCATCACTTTTCCACTTCTGGCAGCAAAGTGACTAAAATGCTGTTAAATGCCTCCTTGTAAGTCAAGTGTGAGTTTATTTAAGACTCGGTTTACAGAATCCCACCGAATCTCGGGGAATAATTATCTGGAAAACATCTCACTGATTTGGAACATGGGCGTGATGATGTCCACACTGTTGGAAACCTGTGCTGCTACAGTGCACCTGATGTTATCCATTTCATAAATGTGGCAGCTTTGAAGTCACCACCAGTGCATAGTCCACGGTCTAGTTCACACTGAAATGTACAATGACCCAGAGGAGGAACAATATCACATGTCCTACGACAAACAATAAACGTGTTGTTTCACTGACATCAACTTCAGCTTCTTTTAATATTGCAGTGTCTGTACTTCGCCGCGTCTGCTCCTCTTTCTCCTGATTTCATCTTGAACTCAGCGAACAGTGATGCTTGCATTTTTTTCTTTTATATAATATATTGCTGTATGAGAAAGCCATTATTAACTGGTCAACCAGTGGTGGGAAACTCAAGGATGACTGGAAACAAGAGAAATCTTGAAACTAGAATCCATTTGTTATAATATGTGCTACAAACGCACAAAAGTTAGTGGAAGGATGCTTTCAGTATCTTGTCAACACTGTAGGAAATATAAGTTTTACAGATGACTCATTTGGGCTTTGGTAGAAACTGTTTTCATACTCATATAAACTGAGTAAATGTACTTTATATATACATTATACTTTTATATTAGATTTATTGATTCAATCACTACTACACACTATAGAATTATATTTATGTTATAAATCTCATGATCCACCAGTACTCCCTCTACTGGTAGATTCCAATCTACTTGTACCAGTACGACCAGAGACCTGTTCCTCTAGTCAGCAATTGAAATTGAAAGTTTGGCTAAGTTCAGTCCCATGCATGTGTCTCCTGAGAGACCTCCTTCTTGACCCTCATGAGCGTTTGGTCCATTAATTCATTTTTATAAAACCTCAGTAAAGAAAACAGGGTGACCACATTAGCTTCTGTGGACGACCAGGGATCCCTGTGCTGTTAGTTATTCTCCGAAGGTCATTAGTGACTCACTCTGCTTTGACTGCCATCGGTTTCAAGGTTCCCATCTCTTACTAATGTCTGTGCTACCTGCAGCCACTCCAAATTCTTCCACTGTGTCTTTGTTTTTCATTCTCCTTTTCCTTTTGTGGCGTTATACTATTCATCCCCCCGAGCCTCCCCTATTCCCAATGTCCGCAGTTGCCCCGCGTGTGTTTGTAGCACATTGATAAAACACTGTTGAGGCCCTTTTTTCATGATTGGGTAAAATAAATAAATGTCCACTGTGAAATCCATTTAAGGGGCCCTGGCGTTGAGTTATATAAAATATCCTGAAACAAGAACGCTGAGGTGGACCGCAGGGAGTTACAGAGGAGAATATGAGAAGGTCAAGGACCTTAACAAGGCAACAGGCTTCTTCTCTGCCGCTACACCATCATAAAGTGGTATGGCCAGAGTTTCAGGAAACATTTTGGACTCAGGTCATTCCACTGACATACACTTGAGTGACCTTAAAACTTAGAAAGAAGCTCTGACATGGCTCTGTTTCTCCATATGATTTCACCTTGTTTTGCTCATTATACTGACAAAGAAAAGTTTTATATATATATATATATAAGCCTTTAAATAGCAATCCCTTTGGCTCAGGTTTTCATTAGTGGTCGATCTTTCATAAAAGCTTAAACCAAACAAAAGCCTTAACAATAACTATAGATAAACTGAATTTTCAGGTTTGTGCAAGTCAAACATTCCTGTTGGTGTTTGTAAAAGAGTGAAATCCCTCCTAACGCGAGTTCAAAGTACTGTATCTTCACATTTGACCGTCTCAGGTCAGTGTCAACACAACGGTTATTAGTTCCCGTTTTACTGACGTTTGTTTGAGGACTGTTATGGTAATGTGACAGGTTCTAGATAATCTTCTAACAGTGGTTGTTCTACTGTTTTGACTTTACTATGCAAACAAGATGAGCATCGTGCACGTCAGACAATGATAGACATGGCCTGTGGAGCTGAATTCATTATATACTTGTGCTCTTGTATGCCTCACTTCCTTTCATTTCTGACTAAAGTTCCCAAACCATGATCCTGCAACCGTTAGTCGTCACAGTGCCCCAGGTGTTTCTTTAATGATCCACAGGGCAAAAACACACAAAATTATAGTTGAGACATTCACTGGTGTTGTTTTCCACAGAAATACTATTTTTCCTATATGCTTCTGGAATTCCTGATTTTGTTTTTCCAAGGTCTAGCCTCAGTCACGTTTCTTTCCAATGAACCAGGTCATCAATTTGCAACTTCCTCCCACTGTCACATCGTCATCAGAACGTGGGTTTTTTTAATCACCCTTTATCTTTTTCCAGCTTGATAAGATTTTCTTGTAATATTTTTATCAATTTGAAGAATAAACGTTTAGTTCTATACCAGACCATAGTGGTGCAGCAACATCCACCTTGTAATGAATGTCTTTCTTTTGTTCCATAACGTTCCAATAAATGTCTTTATTCAACCTTCTGAAAAACACATTTTATGATAAGATCTGAAGAATGAGCTTTATTGTTACTGACAGATTACTGACAGTTCAGATTACCCCAACTGATGGTAGGTTCGTCATGACTGTTTGAACCTTATCATATGTATATAGTTTATTCTAAAGACACATTTATCTTAGTTTTATTTTAAACTGTTTGTCTGAAATTGAAAATGAAAGTAAATGGCTTAAAACCCATCAATGAATGTTCTATTCTTTAGGCAGTTTCTATCATCAGTCCCCAAAATGTGTATTTTAATTGGATCAGTTGCTAACACTCACACTGCAGCCCTTACCTCCAACTGACTCATCACGAAGGTTTCATTTGATAATCCAGTATTTAAATGTAAGTGTGTGTGTGTGTGTGTGTGTGTGTGTGTGTGTGTGTGAGGACGTGCAGCTTTTCTATCCAGCCATTGTTGCGGTGTTCCCTGACCTCAATGCAGATTTGTGTGTGTGTATTTTTCAGTGCTTTTGTTTTTGCGCTCGTGTTTGTTCAGTCATCCTGTGGTCCGCTGTGACCTCACCACTAAGATTTCCCTCACATGCCTCAGAGACCGGTGGGCGGTTGAGTGTGTATTTTCTCTGATGACGGTGACACCCCTGTGCTTCAACGTCAGCCGGCTGTGACGTTTGTCACACCTTTCTACAAAATGACTTTTGGAAAAGCAGATGTATTTTTAGGACATTTGATGTCAGAGCTCCTGTATGAGCGTCATGTGCTCGCATCTCAGCGGAGGAGTTTCAACCCAGCTGTCACGTGGTCCTCAGTTTGACCTTTATGACCAGAGGTCAGATTTTAGGGGATGGAAGAAAAGATAGAAATACCTGAGTGTGAACTGAGTGTCTTCTAAGCCAGTCATTCCCAATCACTGTGAGAAAAATTATCTAATGTCACTTAATTGGTCCCAAAACTATTATTTATTTATTGCAGAAGAAGAAAATCTTTGTGTCTATCTTCAATTCCTGCCAGTATATCAGTATTGTCTTCAACTAAACAGGAGTACATTTTTACTAAATTTAAACAAAAAATGTAATTATATTTCATTATATATACTTTTTGCCAGATTTCTGTTTGGTGGTGTGCCGTGGGGTTTTTCCTGAGGATATATATGTGCCGTGACTCAAAAAAGGTTTGGGAATACTGTTCTAAGCAGTAGTTGTTATTGTACAGTGGAGTGGTGGTTAGCAGCCTTGCCACAGCAGCTACAGCTCTGGTTCAAACCCAGGTGATACCTGATGATTTTCCTGTCAGTATGGGTTTTCCTTCAGGTCACTTGGTTTTCTCCTCTCTATGAAAACATGCAGATTGTGAAGAAGGTAATTTGGAAAATTCACTGTAAGTGTAAAAGGGTTGTTTGTCCCTGGAAAATGAGTGAAGAAATGACTTAGAGTCTCACTAACACCTGATTGGTTTAACTGAGTCGAGCCCATATTATATTAGTCATGAGTTTGAGTCAGTATTTTTGACTTTTATTTTTCATTTTCTTAACCTTTTGACTATTATTGAATCGGACTTTGTTTAATACAACTTTTTATTCCGTAATTCCAATGTTCCTAGTCACAGTAATGACGTTTTCATTCACCGTTACTTCTTTATATTTCAGTGTTGTACCTCTGACTTGTAACTATCATTTTGTATCATTTTTGAACGACTTTTTTTTTTACCTTGTTGACAACGCGTCTTTTGAATACGTACAGTAAATACTTTTTTTTACCTTGTTGACAAAGCGTCTTTTGAATACGTACAGTAAATACTGCGTGTTTTACGGTCACCGGTCATTTGACATTTGGAGATTCGTTCATGAATGAATTCTCATGCCGTGGTTGCTGCTTTTGTCTTTCCACCAACCTTTTTGCGTAATGGCACGGAGGCATCTCCTGGGGTTGCAACCATTTATTTTTAGGACGGAGGAGAAAAAAAAAGGCAGAAAGACAGGAGCGCGATGAAGTGGGTGGGATCGTTTCTCACTCCCTCTCTCTCTCCTCTCCCTCTCTTTCTCTCTCTCAGTGTGCGTGCGTGTGTGTGTGTGTGTGTGTGTGTGTGACGGCGCGTGTGTTATGGTGTGTTTGTGTGTGTCTGCGTGTGTGTGTGAAGTGTATAAGTACAGATCTGTCACTCCGCACTTCACTTTTACGCAGTGGAGATATCGACATCCATTCCGGCCATGAAACTGATAGTGGTGAGTTACCGAGGAGTCCTTACTGTTCCAAGTCAACCATTCAGGATATTCTGGGCTTTGACTTAATCTTAGGGGGGTTTTTTTCTTTTCATTTTTCGTTTTTTTTTTTTTTCTATTGCGAGACCTGGATTAATATTAATGTGCTACGTGAGTCAGCTGGGTGTGTGGATAATTTCACAGAATGAAGAACGATGCAGTGGCACGGTGGTCTTTGGAGACACTGTCTGTGTGTGCAGGTGGTTTGCCTGACGATGATGATGATGATGATGATGAGTTACATTTTTATGCCCGTATGGGACGTTTTAGTTGCAGGTGATTTAAAAAATATTTTTTTAAAAACTGGTTTGGAGGGAAAAAAAGTTCACTACCAGCTCACGTATAGATAATTTATTGATCTAAACTTATGAACAACATAGAATTCTTAAGGACATGAACACGATTTTTAAGGTAGACTTTCCTGGGAGGCATTTCTTTGTATCATGTATATAAAAGTGCAGTATTTGAGGCATATAATTGATATGTGTTTTTAAAACACTAAACATGTGTCTCAAATGTAAATGTGTGCATGGTTTTGGAGCATTTTTCTAGTACTTTAAAAGCTACCTTATATGCATTTATGAACATATTTGTAATAGTGTCATAAGTTTTTATATTTTAAGGTTTTTTATTATTTATTATTTATTGTTATTTATTATTTGATGTTTTCTGCCCATGTTCTTGCCAGTTAAAACATTGAAAGTTAGAGAGGCGGTGGTCACTATTGTCTGAGCCTCTTCTTCTCCATCTGTTTAGTTTATACATCATGGTTGCTGCCTTTTTCACCCTGCATGAACTGTTCAGATGGTCTTTTATAAAAAAAGAAGAAATCATCTGTAAAAGTAGTATAATTTAGAATTAGATATTTGATCTATTGTTGTTTTATAGCTCATCAGTTTGGGCCAAGACAAATCAAGACCCCACCTGCACAAAAGTTTGCAGCAAGCATGCACAGTACAAGAATGAGAAAAATGTAGGAGTATTTTTAGACAAGATATTTTACTGCCGCCCATCTGCAGACAGCATCAGTAAAAACACGTGTAGAGGATGCTGGGAATATTGTATTATACTATACCATGCAGCAGGCCTGCTGTTTTGTAGACACGCTGTGGATTGAAGTGATGATTTGTGTCTGCAGCAGGTGTCTGCTCTCAGCTCTAACCGTTTGTGCTGCAGATATTTACACAGACTGTTGTGTTTCAGTCAAATGCCAGTATTGTCACTCGAAACGACATGTACTGCATGTGTGGTGCTGATTGATATGTTTGCCTATGAGACACAATGGATGCTGTGACTATTGATTTATTACCACAAACGTGGGCCAAAGAACCAGGTTATTAAAGTCCGTGAATGGAGGTTTACTCTGGGCACACTGAGACGTCACTGCTTATAGTATGACCTGCATGAAAAGGCTGAAACTTTACACTCTCAAAATAAAATCACATGGTGGCGTGTTGTTGGCAGATTGTGTTTACCTCAGCATCTGGTACGTTGTGTGTTTGGAGATATGAATTTCCTTCTTTTCAAGGTAAACTACAGAAGTCAGAGCAGTCGTGGTCTTGTTTTTGTTTTGCATTTCTTGCCGTCCGTGTGCGTTGGAGGGTGAGTAGGTGTTGCTTTTGCATGTGTGCATGTATAGATGCGTATCAGCTCATAAACAGTTCATACGTGAAGGACACATAACAATGGACCGCATGATGTCACTTATTTTTAGTTGTTATCTGACCAGAAAATGCCCCAAAAAACAAAAAATAATAATATATATATATAGTACTATACAGTAATATTATACATTGTCTTTTTTTTTTTTTTGGCTGATGACAAATAATTAATTTGTGGAGCAGTACAGCTCTGACTCTGATTCCACATTACACTGAATTGTAATTTCATACATTTCTTCTTACTAATCCACAGCCTGATGGTTTGTGTGCTCGTGTGTTTCCTCTCAAAATCCGTTGCTTGTGTCTTGACTGCCCTTGTACTATTATTTTCTCCTACTGGGGAGTACCAATTTGCCTAAACATGGGCAAATATTTGGCTGATTAAACTATGCTTAACCCCCATTCAGTTACAGAGCTGTGACAGACCAGACTGTATTTCGCCAACTATTTGAGTCATCTAACCAAGCACTTAGTCAGTCTCAACTGTCAACATGAAGCCAACAATTTGGTCCACATTTCCCTGGATTCCAATTTGACGTCTGTTTTTCTGCCTCTCAGTCACCCAGACACTGTGTCCTTCTGTGAAGAGTTCAGTGTTAAAGGGGCATTTTGCAAATATGTGACCAGATACTGGGCTCTGGTTTAGCAGTTGATGCAAGAAGGCACCGTTTGATAAAAGAAATGCTGACGTTCAGAAGTTTGTTTGTTTTCGTTGACGGTTCAAAACCGTTGCCTGCGACCGTCTACAGTCATGTTCGACTGTAGAAAAAAAAAAACCTTGAATTGTCATGTTAAGCATTAATTCTAAGTGTGTTTGCTACTTGACTGAAAAGTAGACTCTCACATACTCTCACAGATATGTTGTGCACGCTCCTCGTGTGGTTGATCTGTCTGCTGAAAAAGCACTCTTTATTTATTTGGGTTGCAAAAGGATGGCAGTAAAAAAAAGACTGACTTGTTGTGGATTCATATTCCACATCTTATTGTGTTTCACTGGACATATTTCACATGATAGCGGTGGAAAACTTGCATTCTCTGGATGTTTTGTAGCTCTCCCTTTTGTTATGGCAGCCAAGTAATACACTGTATAATCTACGGACTGATCTCCACACACACACACACACACACACACACTGTGTATATTTTACTATCCTGGTTCTCTGTATCTGTACAGTTCCCCCTCTCTTGTCTGTGCTGTAGCCGTTGATATCAGTCAACAACTTCCCTAAACTAACACAGTGTTCACATGCAGAAACAGGCAAATCTTTGGAAAGGTCAGTAGGACAGCCACGTCCATGTGAGTGAGGAAGTGAGCGTTGACTTGGCCGCTGGATGCAGATGGTGTGTAAAGGTGCAGGGTCAACACGTTTTAAACAAACAAGTACAAACGTTTATTCAGAAAGCAACGATCACAACTGGAAGTTGCTGCTGCTGCACACCTTACTTCCCTTTTTTCTATCAACTGTACTGATAGCAAAGGGGGGTACATGTGTGTGTGTGTGACTTATTTGCGGTGAAGTCATTTGTTAAAAGGGTGTGTGTCGGTACACTGAGGTTTGTGCGAGGCTGATTAAAAGCAAAGAGCTGCAGCAGAGCAGACAGACACGCAGCTGCCTATCAGTGTTGTGGTCACACACAGCCTTTGATCCTTTTATCTCTTTATTTGTACGACTTCTATTATGAGCACCGTGATGAATGTGATGCAAATGTCTCTGTTGAACATTTGTCAGTCGCTGAGCTTTAACAGCTTACATTTTAACAGGAAGCAGGATTCACACACCCTACTCACCAATCAGTTAATGCAAGACTTGTCCGGCCCGGCACGTCCGTGTGAGCCCAATGTTGGACCAACTAAGACTAGAAGGCTGCAAGGGTTTTAACAGGGGAGATTTTCCATGTGCCCCTTGTCAGCATACCCTCACACTCTGATCACTGAAACCAATATGAATCCTACTTTTAGTCGACTTTAAGCCCAGGTGTTTACTGCAGCGGGTGTCCCCACTTTATGGCTCATTTTTTAGTGGGCCACAGAAAAAGAAATAATAATTTTCTTTATTTGTAAATACTGTTAATCTGTCAATTTGTCAAAAATAATTCCTCTTGTTCTATGTGCTCATCAGTTTTATACACTAGTGCTCCACAGAAAAACCTTGAAAAAGAAATCTTTGTCACTTTACAAAGAAACATTCACGAGCATTAGAAGAATATGCTCAATGTACTGGTTTATTCCTGGGGACGTTGTCCTCTTTGGGAAGAATCAAACACACACTGTCTTCATGACAGAGCAGAGTGACAATGAGTTCAAATCAGTGGTTGTCAAACCGCAAACAGAACCCATAGTTATACCCAGAAAAGGAGGTATAGTTCATTTGATTCTTAGTCTGTTCATTAGCAAAAACCACAGATAGATTTACTTAATCATTGTTAGATAGAAAGAGATGCATCTCTACTGCCATGCATATGAAACATCTTTACTGTTGCACTCGTGACTCAAAGATGTCAAATGATTAAGTTTGTAAAGAACAAAATTAATTAATATTTGAAACTGTACCATAAGCTACAAGGAATTACAATATGTGTCTTGTCCAAAATATATTTATCTTTTGTTTTGTAAAGCACACATTAGCTATCCTAGATAAGTGAAGTTCTTTAGGTCAAATCCATAGGTTTTCAAACATGAAGGATACCAGTGAAAACACACACACACACACGTACACACGTACACACATCTCCAGAGCTGGAATCCCCCCTCAGACCACCTGCGTTCTACAGTTAACTGAAACCATGTGCCTGCTGGTTTGCTTGGTGTCGTGTGGCTCAGTCCTTTTATGCCATGGCTCCTTTCCTCATGCCATTAATTTAAAGCTGACCTCAGGCCAGACGGACTTTGATTCTCCCCTTACTTTGAATGTCACTGTTCATCCACTTCTTACCCTCAGCTCTGTTTGTAGAATGATCTCAAACCCCTCTGTATGGTTTGTGCTAAATTGGTTTCTTTTAGCTACCAACGCACGGCAGGAAACATTTTCTCTTCATATCTGTGACAGTGATTTACAGATTTTCATTGACTTTTAGTCTTTTTTAAATGTGTTTTTATCATGATAATTCAGTCAAAATGTGCTTTAAATATTTTTTTTTCCCAGAGCTGTATGGCCAGTATCGTTGGCAAGTGCATAGTGTTATCAGTGCGATTTATAGTCATTCTCTAGTTTAAAAGATAGAAACGTTTCCTTGTTTTTATTTGTGAATATGAATATAAATCATGACTTTTGCCACGTTCCTGAACCCGTTTCTGTCTTCAGC